TAATTTATAAATTTATATACTTTATATAAATAAAATATTTATTTTATATATTTATTAATTACCTAAATTTATTAATTGGTCGAATTCAAATTGAATCAAATATTTAATCAAAATCGAATATTAATTTTCAATATCTGTCGGATATCAAATCGAATTCGGATACTGAATTTTTTAATCGGTTTCGAATTCGGATATCAGATTTTCTAATCATATTCGGATTTGGATATTGCCTGATTCAAAATCGAAATCAAATAATTTACACCCATAATAAGAGCTATACAAACTCTTCTAGCCATTTGAGCATGAGAGGGCCAACAACAAAAGGATGATCAACATTTTTGGCCCTCTATGCAAATTTCTTGAATGCTTTGCTTTGGTAGTATTCTTATTTTTTTATGGGGTAGCCCATCCTCCAACCCAGGTACAGGGAGCATTTGATCCCATGTATCCGCTACGATCAGAAGGAGACCTTACCAGCCAACTGGTTGGAACCTTTGCTTCAGCACTATTCAATGCTTTCCCTAAGGCTGTGTTTGCTTTGAAGGAAAAAGTAAGGAAATGAAGGAAAAGGTAAGAAAACCTTTACAAATCTTGTATAGGTTCCCTTACCTTTCCCTACGTTTTCCTTCAAATCAAACATAGCTTAACTGTCCACCTGCAACCAATAACACTGTTCTTTTTACAAAAAAAAAAATAAAAGACAATTAGAATCGCTTAATTAAGTGACAACATTAACCATGCTTTGTAGAACACTATCAATACATTTTAGAACACATCAATAAGAATGATGAATATTTTTGAAAAGGGTTAGACCATGATGGAAAAGTTTGTAACTTAGCAACTAATATCATAAAAGTGGTAGTCAATCAAGTGGTATTTATCAAAATTCATAAGAGTTTTGATTGATCAAAGCCCTTGTAGTATCATGCCTTTCCATCAACATAGATTTTCCCTTTCGGAAATCATGTAATTTCTTGCCTGCCAAGTATAATAGTAAGCTATGGCCAACCAAGAAAATATATGCACATTTTCAGTCAAATTCCCATCCATATTCAATAAAGATAGAAGAAAATCCAATAAAGAATAGAAATTAGTTAGAACTGGACAAAAATGAATAGAAATGAACAGAACAAGAAAATGTTGCTATGCACCAAATGTTTTTACTAAAAAAATCTATTTATGGCAAGAATTAATCATTCTTTTTTTATAGAAGCAATTAGCACCTATTTAAAACTAATTAAAAGAAATTAGATTGTTGAATTGAGTAAGAAGTTGTACAAACGAAGAAAAGAACTTGAAACTTCAAAATAGAAATGAAATCTAAAATTTGTAAAATTAAAAATAAAATTAATATAATGAAGAAGTACAAAAGATCTAACAATTTGATGAGATTAATAATAGTATATTCAATAAAGATGATATATTAATAAAGTCTTGAAATATAATAAAACATCATAAAATCATGCATCATATCGCTTATATTTTCATTTTTCAAAGAAGCTTTCTGCGGCAGTCATAAATGGTCAACTTAGGTCTCAAAAACCAGAGTTTAGATCTGCGCCCCACAGTGTCCCACAATACATTCTCACCGTGTATTAGGAACATCTCCCGATGATGACATCATCAAGACTGGTATTATCATCGGGAGATGTTTTCAATGCATGGCAGGGATATGCTGTAGGACATTGTGGGGCACCCCCTTGTGGGGCACCCCCTTGTGGGGTGCAGATGTGAACTCCAAAAACCACTAGCACAGATTTTTATTGGTGGATGGCATGCGGTCAATATTTGTCAGCATATGTTTTCACAACGGATTGCCAGCCATGTGCTAGTAAATAATCTATGTTGGTGTTTAGCTTAACTTTTAGGGGTTTTTATGATTCAGTCCACCTCTAGGAAATCCTAGCTCCACCTAGGGGTGGATTGAATCCTACCCATGGATTGATGCCAAATTCACAGGCGGGCAGGACGTAGTTTATAGGGGGTACTAGTAGATTAAGAGGGGGCCATTGTTTTCAAAACCGAACCGGAAAAACCGGGAGCCAGTCACTTGATCGGTTCCGTTTTTCTCCAAAACTGTTTTTTTCCTCAAAACCGTTGATTTTGGTCAACAAACCGCTGAACTGGCCGGTTAACCGTTCAAACGATTTTAACCGTTTTCCAATTTTTTATTTTTTTGTCAGAACGGGCTGACCGTTCAAACCGGGCCAAACCGGTTCATTTTTTAAAAACCATGGAGGGAACTGCAAAAAAGATTTCTGAGGGGGATTGTAGTCCAAAAATCCCTTATTTTTATGAGCAATATGATGCACCATTATTTTTCACACTAGAAATTAGCTTAATTTTTATGTCATGAACTCATTTTCATTGTAAAATGAATGTGGCTCATGGCAAGAATTTTGTAACCAAATGCTCTCATGTGATTCATTTTTTATTAGAATGAATAAGAATTAAAAGAATAAGGCTCCTAGCAAGAAAACAAATATGGCATAAAATTCCATGACCTAGCGAACAAAAATATTCTCACAAAACAAATGAACAAAAACATACTGTTAGACACCAAAAATTGCCAAACTCCCTCAAATCCCTTCAAACCTTCCACATGAATAACTAAAGATGCCACTCTCCTCATAAGAACAACACAACACAACCCATTAGTTCTTCCTGCCTACACAAACTTATTCCCTTGTTCCTTTCAATAAATAAGTATTCATAACTCTCCACTAAAGCATTAGGGAACACTTCTTCCAACTTACTTCTATTTCACTGAGCTATATTTTAGGCCCCGTTTGGCTCACTGGAATAGGGGCCTGGAATCGGAATTGGAATGGACTATTCCAATTCCAGCTGTTTGATTGAACAGAACCGGAATTTCATTTTATGCCCGCTTTCTTTGGGAATGAAATCTCATTTCTGCTAATTTCAATTTTCATTCCCATTCTTGTCTGAACCAAACAGACTATAGAAATAGGCCATTCCGATTCTGATTCCAATTCCAGCTCCAAACCAAACAGCCCCTAAATATTTTTATGGAACTTACACATGGGATCCACCAGAACCTTGATACCTATCAATATTTGTGTGAAGTGGGCTCCTACCTCTGCTCCCAAGATCCAACGATCATTTGTCTTTCTACTTCAAATCTTGTAAGATACTTTTAGTATGGCAAAAAAGCATTCTTATAAGAAACGCAAAACCTAAGGCTGAGTTTGGTTGTAATGCAATTTTATTTGTATTAGTATAAACATATAGGAGTGTAAATGAAAAGAATGCAAATTCTGATTTAATTTTGTTTTAGATTTTAATTTATTCTGCTTTAAATTTTATTTTATTTCATTTGTACTGTAATCAAACAAAATAAAGTAAATTTTGAAATAAAAATAAATCAAAATCTACACCTAAATTATTTGCATCACCATAATATTGCATTGGTGTAAATAAATTTGCACTGCAACCAAACACAACCTAAAGAAATTGTAAGACCGGAAGTTGTAAGAAGAAGAGAAGGTAAGGTGCTCCCCCAATTCCCAAAGGCCGACCATGGAGGGGCAAAATCAGGATTATGATAAAATGTATTATACGGTAAATGGCCCTAAATGTTTTGTTAATGTGTATTGAGTGTAAGAATAACAATGTGGCGAGGATCCTATTCCCTGTCTCTAACCTCAAGTTTTAAATTAATTCCTGTCCTTAACCCCAATCTTCGAGAAAAAAAATTTGAACCCCATCCTTGATCCTTGGAAGGAGACGGGTTTCCCATATTGAGGACCTGAATCCCCATATTTTTTAATTAAATAGAGTCTAGTGAAACCACATGGTATTAATAGCCGATAAGGGCAACTTTTGGGCCCTAATATCATAATAATCTTTTTAATATAATTATTAAAATATGTTAACCTTTTTTTTTAATATTAAATAGGGATAGAAATACTATTCATCTCCTTCCTCCTTCAAACTGTTGAACAAATCTCTCCTAATCCCAATTTTTAGGCTTTAATGGTGTTCAAAACTATTTCAAATACCTCTAACAAGCTTCTGAGAGACCAGAATATTTTTACATCCCCCACTATGCTGCTCACGTCATCGATTCCTATACTATGAACAAGGTCGAGTTCGTAGAGGAAGCTGTTAAATCTGGCATAATTTCACCATTGATGGAGCTTCTTCAAGGGAAGATCAGTTGGGTCAAGCAAAGAGTCCCGTTCGAGCGCGGGGTTGCCTGGCCAGTTACGAAAGAACATTCGAGACTGTTGCACAACATGAAGAAGAAGAGATAGTCCAGCTAGCCATGCAGTTGGCTTCTGCCTACCTTGATGTGGTGTATGTTAAGTTCACCTATAGGGCCGATTTGGTTGAACTTCGAAGTCTCACGGGAAGATCAATAGTAGGAGACCCAATCGCAGAAGCGCTCTTAATGGATTACAAAGAAAACAGGAAGAAGGGAGAGAGAGAGAGAGAGAGAGAGAGAGAGAGAGATTTGATAGGTGGTATAGAGGAAGGAGATGAAAAGTATTTCTGCCCCTATTTGATATTTAAAAAAAAATTAATCCATTCTAAAAATTATATTTAAAATTTATTTTTATTGATATTAAGGCCCAAAAATTATCCTTATCAACTAGTCCCTACATTTAATTATACAAACAAGCCTAGATGCCTAACGGCCCTAACCTAACCCAGCCCTGGCTTGGCCCAAATACATATTATCATGTCCATGGTGCAGGTTGGGCCGGAAGAGCATTGACCAATAATAATACTTTCGTAAATTTCTAATAAAAACCACCCTGATTGGTTACTACTTTCGTAATAGTGGTGATTGGTTGCAGTGAGTTTGCGCAGAGTTATTGCTTGCAATAATAATACACTGTCAATAGCCGGCCCAGCCCATGATCCTTAGTCGAGTCGGGGCTACTGAACTCCAACATGGGCCCAATTTCAAAAAGCCCAATTAGAAAATAGACTTGGAAAGGGACTAAGGGAGCATGAATCGATGTTTAACTCGCCCGAGTTGCCACTCGCCACCGATGATAAACCCTAGTCCGGCAGTCCTTTCTTCTACTCTCCCGCGTCCTTCTGCTTGCCATCACCTCCACTTCCAGCTCCGACATCGGCCGACTTCCCGACAACCACCCTTGTGGTAGCCTCTCGCACGAACTCGCCCCCCTCTCTCTCTATCTGTTTCTGTTCTTTGAACATGTAACTGATCTCTTGTGATAATTTTCTGCGCAGGAGAGATGGCAACCATGGTTTCTATGGCGGATATCGAAGCGAAGGCCATGGGGCTCGGAATCGACCTTTCGAAGGTGGATTTAGACGCAATAAGGTTACCTCCAGGCGAGGATTTTGGTGTCAAGAGGTACCAAGTTCTTAATATAACCCTATTTATACTACTCTCACTAGGAATTTGGTTCAGAGGTTCAATTTCTTTTATTTGACTTGAACCATTTGTTTTCTTTATAGTGATGATGAGGATGTTCTTCGAGAAGATAATCTGGAATCCGAAAGTGGGCTTGGTAACATAATTATTGTTGACAATCTTCCGGTAGTTGCACCGGAGAAATTCGAAAAGCTAGAAGGTGTCATCCGGAAAATTTACAGTCAGATCTGTGTACTCAAGGAAGATGCTATTTGGATGCCTGTTAACCCTGAAACCCAGAAGACCCTGGGTTATTGCTTCATTGAGTTGAATACTCCTCAGGTATGAATTTAATGAGCTTATATTATTATAACGTCGTAGATTGTTTGTCAATTTATTACAATCTGAATAGATTGGCTGTCGGTTTATGCTTATGGGAGCAATTGGATGCCTTGTGGAGTTTATGAAAACCACGTCAACGTGAATGACTTTATTTTGTTTCTCATTGCATTTGAAGTTTTTTATAACAGTAAAATAAAAGAAAATTTTATTGAAATGGAAAACGGATTACATTCTTTAGGTGAAGAGTTTTCACCATAATGTTGCAACTTGAACTTGCAACCAAATTAGAAGACAAAAAGAAAATACATCTCAAGGCTTATGGGTTTAGGCCCCCATTCAAAACTTCTAATGATGTTTGAAGATTGTATCAAAAACCCTCCCCATTCATTCTTTGAATTCTGAGCGGGAAAAGGCCTTGTATGCCATCACTAGTTTTTAGTATGTTTTAATTTATCTTCAAAAGTGTACCTGTTTCTTTGTCCCCAAATGCCCCGGAAGACTGTGGACTTGATAATGCTCCAAATTATATAATCCTTTCTGCTCCTTCCCGATCTCGACCAAGAAGAAAAAAAATCTCTTCTGGATCAGATAGATTCAATTTTCTAATGTTGAAAGGAGTAAAGAACAAGTCCTTAAAGAAATCAATAAATCTGCAATATATGAAGCTGTTTTACATTCTCTTTGTTCTCCTTGTGAAGAATACACCTGTTTGCCAGCTAGAACCCTCTTGACTTCAAATGAGCTATAGTTAGAATGCTGTTCAATGCAAGCAACCAAGCAAATGCCCCTACCCTTGGAGGACTTGGGTTCTGGCAAACTCTCTTGACATTCAAACTTTCAATCTGATTCCTGGATATGGCTTCACTGAAAAGATTTAACAGTAAGCTTCCCATCATAACACTCTTTCCATCATCTGGTATCTGTTTCATTTGATACAATTTTCATCTTCTCGACTCGTGAGAGCAGAAAGATCTATTCTTCCACTTCGCTATCTGGTAGTGGGCAACTAAACTTAGGGCACTAAGTAATTGGTTCACCTTTTTATTCAAAGCATTGCCTAATTGTGATATCTTTAGTACTCAGACTATACAGCCTTGGTGTAAAAATCACACAACTTCCCCCTTCCACATCATTTATCTTCCCAATAGGTGATAAAACAAGGAAGGTGGACTAAGATGTTTTGATCGTGTGCACAGAAGACAATACACAGCACCAGTGAGAAGAAGTGATTTGTTACATGCTGAAGATCTAGAAGATCAAGGTGCAGAGTGTAGACCAAAAGGGACATGGGTTGAAGTAGTAAGAAATGGTTTAAGGGCCCATAACATTACAATGGGCATAGCTTTAAACTGACTGGAATGGTGGAACAGTGTAGTTGTGTTTTGTAGGATATGACATCTATTAGTATGTCAGAAGAGAGGATGAATTTGTTTTTACATTTTGAAGAAAAGATTTGTTCATCTTGTTGGTGAGCATTTCATATTCTAATTTTTTTGATAAGTATTTCATATTCTAATTGTGGGGAGACAAATTTCTCTTTAGTATTATATTTTCCGTTTCAAAAATAAAAGAAGGCATATGTAAATGTATTTCTTCGCCAAATCTTTATGAGGAGCTTATATTTTTTCCATTTGTGTCTTATTTATTCGTATTTTCATTTTAGGAAGCTGAGCTTGCAAAGGAGAAGACTCAAGGATACAGATTGGACAAATCACACATATTTTCCATAAATTTATTTGATGACTTTGAGAGGTTCATCAAAGTACCAGATGAATGGGCTCCTCCCGAGACCAAGCCATGCACACCTGGGGTAACCCTTTCCATCTAATTTCTTATTGCTCCTGATTCTGCATAGATTTTAGTTTTATTCTCTATACTGACTTGTTGATGAGATACTGAACAATCTAGTGAGACTTAATCCGTTACTTATCTATTCATGGCAATGCATGACTTCTTTTTATCTATCTGATTATTCAAATTTGGGCATTTCATATTTTGTCCTTGAATCTCAGTCATTGCAACCACTATGAGCTTCCTTTATTATTAATCTTGGTTTTTTCCTTTCTTGATTCTTTGTTCCTGGAACTTGGTACTGAAATGAGCTTTGCTACTTAATTATATTTCTATATTTAGATTTATTTGTGGATCTAGGAAGAATTTATGAATATGTTTCTAATTTTTCCTAAATCATTTGAGTAATTTTGTTTTAATGTATTGAAAAATAATTGTGTTTTTCCATCCGTATGTGAATAATATCAACTATTGATTTCCTTAGTTCATTTGAACCTGTATTTTGTTTTTGGGGATATGCACTGGACATAGTACAATTTTAGCAAATACCATTGTAGCAGTTAAATGTTCTATGCTCATCTGTATCCTTGAATGTGTTTGGTATGGCTGCTTGATACTTGTTGGACTGATACCAGGACACTTGTTTATTGATGTAGAATTGTGCATCAAGACTCTCAAATTTCTAATGTATTTTTCCCTTCAAGCCTTTCTTCATTTCTTGGGAATTATTCTGGGACCTAAATTTATTGGAAGATAATTGGAACAATGGTTTATGTTGAAAACACTGGTTTTTTCTCCACAATTTACTTCATTCTTTATGGATCTATGAGAGAGAATGGAATCTGCTCATCTGTTTTGCATTTCCTAAGTGTTTAGCTGTAATTGTATTGGGAATGATATATTACACTAGTTGGAAGTCTATAATGCTTCTTCTTTCTTGTGGTTGCTCTAGTTTCATCTACATACTTTTGAAGTAGCAATGCCTTGCTTTCTGAATATTTAATAAACTATGCAATTCTATATTGTTACAGGAAAACTTACAGCACTGGTTGACTGATGAAAAAGCCCGAGATCAATTTGTTATTCGTGCTGGTAATGACACTGAGGTTTTATGGAATGATCCTAGGCAACTGAAGCCTGAGCTTGTTTATCGACGTACTGTAAGTAGATTCAGGTCTTCCTTTTCTGGTTTTTGTAACATAACACTTAACTGAATGCAAAATACATGGCCTTTATAAAGCATAAGAATATTTGGGAGATAATCCATTTTAGTTAATATTGCTATCTAACCACATATTATCACCTTCATCTTTCAGCATTTGTAGATAGACCCTCCAGAACTGTTGATCCCTATTCGCACCAGTGTTTTAAAAGTGCAAGGTGCAATTTGTGCCCAAGGCACAAGGCGAGGTGCACGCCTTTTTGAAGCAAGGTGCAAAAGTACAAAAATGCCAAAAAAGCAAAAAAATTGTCAGAAAATTCAGAAAAATGCTAAAAAGTAAAAAAATATTAAACATAATATTAATAAAAAATATAAACATAAATTTTAAAATAAATGTTTTAAAAAATTTGTTATCTAAAATTAAAATACATAAACATAACACATAAGCGCATTCAAATGAAATTTTGAAAATAAATCAAACATATAAAACATTTTCAAGCATGTAAAACCTATAATCTCTTTTTTTCCCTCAATTGCATTATTTCAAATAGCTATGTGATGTAAAACATCTTGCATTCCTGATTCTACATGCCGCCTTTGTTCCAAATCCGTCGAGGCAAGCCCAAACAAATCCATGTTAGGGTCTTAAATTCTTAATCCTTACACAAAAATAAATGATTTTATAATATTAATTTTCTTTTAAGAAAATATTTTACTAGGATGAATGAATGGACAACATTAGCAAATAGGGGGTTCTTGGATCTTCGGTTCGCTCAAGAAGGGACTTAGGCGGGGCTCTGGGCGCACACCTTTTGAAAGTGCTGCGCGTTGGTCCTAGGCAAGGCACATACCTTAGCGCCTCGCCTAAGTGCCTAGGTGTTTAAACGACTGATTCACACCTTGTTTAGCCAACATGTTGGCCAAACTGTTGGCTGATCTCTGAACCCATATGAAGCAAGTTCCCATTTCTCTCATCAGCTGTTTTACTTCCCTCTTGACCATATGTATCTATTTATTTGTTTATTTTTTTGGTAAGAGACAGAAAATTACAAAAAAGAAATATTTGTTTACTTTTTAGGAAGTGCAATAACTGATAAAACTTTTGCTTTGTTTGGCAGTTTTGGACTGAGAGTTTTGTTCAATGGTCCCCACTAAGCACATACTTGGCTACGGTTCACAGGCAGGGTGCAGCTGTTTGGGGAGGTGCAACTACCTTTAACCGTCTAACGCGTTTTGCTCACCCACAGGTTCTATCCTGTTCATAATTTCATCTTTTCTGTTGCATATTTTGCTTGTCCTTTTCGCCTCAATATATGTAATTAAACTGCATACAGGTTAAACTCATTGATTTCTCTCCTGGGGAGAAATACTTGGTCACCTATAGCAGCCATGAACCAAGCAATCCACGTGATACACATGTGAGAAATATTATGATTTGAGAATTAATTTATTTTATCTGAATAAGCTTTCTGTTACGCTGACATGTTTTCTTAATGTAGAGGGTTGTCTTGAATATTTTTGATGTAAGGACCGGAAAAGTTATGAGAGATTTCAAAGGCAGTGCAGATGAGTTTGCAACTGGTGGAGCTGGGGGTGTCTCTGGAGTGTCATGGCCTGTTTTCAGGTGATTTTATTCTATGCTATTTATGTTATCTACATCCCTTTATGAACAACTTTTGACCACTCTTGTCTTGTAAATGACTTATTATTATTTTATCTTTTGCAGATGGGGTGGTGGAAAAGATGATAAATATTTTGCTAGAATTGGAAAAAACGTGATATCTGTCTATGAAACAGAAACATTCACCCTTATTGACAAAAAGTCATTGAAGGTTGAAAATGTCTTGGACTTCAGCTGGTCACCTACTGATCCTATCATTGCACTCTTTGTTCCAGAGCTAGGTGGTGGGAACCAACCTGCTAGGGTGAGTAGTAGAATCATTTTATGAGGAATCCTTGTAATGACAGTTTTTATTTACTTTGCCAGTTTTTCTCTCTGTTCACAGGTAAGCCTTGTTCAAATTCCTGGAAAAGAGGAGCTGAGGCAGAAGAATCTCTTTAGTGTTAGTGACTGCAAAATGTACTGGCAAAGCAATGGGGACTACCTTGCTGTTAAGGTTGATAGGTACACGAAAACAAAGAAAAGCACATATACTGGCTTTGAGCTTTTCCGGATAAAAGAACGGGACATCCCCATTGAGGTTTTGGAGCTTGAAAATAAGAATGACAAGATTGTTGCCTTTGCATGGGAACCAAAAGGCCACAGATTTGCAGTTATCCATGGAGATAGCCCAAAGCCTGACATAAGTTTCTACTCAATGCGAACTGCTAACAACACAGGCCGGGTCTCAAAGCTTATAACTCTCAAAGGCAAGCAAGCCAATGCTCTCTACTGGTCTCCTGCTGGACGCTTCATTATCCTTGCTGGTCTCAAAAGTTTTAATGGACAACTGGAATTCTACAATGTTGATGACCTTGAGACGATGGCAACCGGAGAGCATTTCATGGCAACTGATATTGAATGGGATCCTACTGGAAGGTATAATTAATCAGTAGGCAATGTAAATTGTTTTTTTATCAGTAGCTGTATTATATATTTCTTATGCTTTGTTTACACACCTTGTTATTGTATTTGGGCTTTTAAAGAAAGTGGAATTTAATGATATGCCCTATTTCATATTTCAAATAGGGGTGCCAATGGATTTTTTTTTTATCAGCAAAAAATGAATTTTATTGATGAAAATTTAGGAGTTACAGGAGCTTGGGTGTAAATTCCACCCCAAAACAACAAAAGACTACAGATTTTCCCAAAACATTTGCAGTCTCACAGCCCCTTGTTTGGCCAAAGAATCTGCTATTCCATTTGCTGTTCTTCTTACCCACTTAAAGGAAAAATTTAGCTCCCTTATTAGGCTTACAATCTCCCTGAATTTATACCTGAATACCCAAGGAATCTGGGAACTGTTCTCAGTCCATGAGATGACTACTTGGGAATCCACTTCCACCTCTAGATTGTCTACTGTATGCACTTTGACTCTCAGAATTGGGTCTACATATTAATATGAATTAAAAATCAGGTTTATTTTTGACCCACTAATTGTTATGCACACACAGAAACGCATAAAGTATATGAATTTAGAATATAGAGTATAAATGACTATATTCTTTCAAAAGTTGTTTTCTTCTTCGTCCTTTCTTTATTTGAGTATCTGTCATAAAATCCAAATCTTGGTGTTTTTCTGGTTCAAATTGCTCGCTTTCATATACCTGGCAGAGATTGACTGTGGATCATTTGTTATACTGTTTCTGGAAATCATTTTTGATGGATCTGTTTAGGAGTAAACTTGCACCTGATCTGTTGATAGTTTTGTACCACTATCTGCAATTTCTCTCTTTTGAAAATATAAAGGGAAAATTCCACTTTAGTACCCTGAACTTTGGGGGTAGTGTCAAGTTAGTACCCTGAACTTTGGGGGTAGTGTCAAGTTAGTACCCGAACTTTCAAACGTGTCGCTGCAGTACCTAAACTTTCAAAAAAGTGTCAAGTTGGTCACTGCCGTTAACTGACCGTCAGTTATCTGTTGAAAATGCCAAAACTACCCTTCAAAAGAAGACATTGTTCACTGTCTTCTACCTTGAGAGTTGAGACTGAACTTGACACTACCCCCAAGTGGAATTTTCCCAAATATAAATCTTTTGTGGATATGTGTCCCCTCCAGAAACAATGTGAGACTTTTGGGAGTAAAATGTTAAAACATCTTTTGTATTCTTATTGCAATTATCCTTTGTATTTGTAGGTATGTTGCAACTTCTGTTACCTCAGTTCATGAGATGGAAAATGGATTTAACATATGGTCCTTCAATGGGAAGCTCCTATACCGGATACCAAGGGACCATTTCTGTCAGGTGAGTTGATAAAAACCTTGATCAACATCCTTAGAATATGATGTATAGCCTTGTCTTTTATATTCTATAATGCATAAGCCATGGTAAGGGGCTATAGCTATCTCAGGCTGACAAGCGTGAGAACAGCCACTTTTTGCAAAAGAAATGCCAAAGATTAGGTCTGTATCCAGTCCGTCCACAATTTACCCATCCCAAGACCCCAGGTAGCTGGGACCAACATTAGATAATGGCTTTTTTTAATGTTCTAGTCATAGTAAGTGTCTTGTACAACATCTGCCAAACTGTAAAGGTGCACTTCTTGATTTCCCACAAGATTTCCCACAAGATTTCAACTTCAACCAGCGGTTCCTTCTTGGGTGATCCATTATTCCTCACCATATTGAAGATGCTTGATATCTCATGTCCAAAATCATGTGGTTATTCTTGATTATTACCAAAATCTCTAGATTTTTCTTGGCAATGTCTACTTGTCTAGTTATGCATCACAATATTGCTAGGTATTATACTTATATGTGACTTGTGATTATCAATTCATAGACTACTATGATAATACTGATACCCATGCTCTTGTATGTCTTTTGCAATCATGCAGTTCTTGTGGCGACCAAGGCCACCATCTTTCTTGAGTGCAGAGAAAGAGGAAGAGATTGCAAAGAATCTGAAGAAGTACAGTAAGAAATATGAGGCAGAGGACCAGGATGTTTCGTTGCTCTTAAGTGAGCAGGACCGTGAGAAGCGAAGGTTGCTGCAGGAGGAATGGGACAGATGGGTGATGCAATGGAAGCAGTATCATGAGGAAGAGAAGTCATACAGGCAGATACTGAGGGATGGGGAAGCAAGTGACGCGGAGGAGGAATATGAGGCAAAGGAAGTTGAGGTTGAGGAAGTGTTAGACGTTAAAGAAGAAGTTGTCCTTTACGAATTGGAACAAAACTAGTGCAAGAGTTCCAAGTGTCATTTAACTTGTATCATTAGTTAGATTCCTTAATTTATAATACCATACAAAGCAAATTGAGGGCTTAGTGTTGTGAAGCAACCCGAAAATTTTCCTTCTTAGAGGTCTTCAGAGGGGGGTGGAGTCTTTATTTTTTTTTATTAGTGTTAGATAGATTCCTTCATTTGTTTATTAATGTTTAGCTTAAAAGAACAATTTTTCAAGATTGTAAATCTTGAAATTCGCTTAGCTTTTTTTTTTTTTCCGGAAAATGTGGGGCGTTTGTATGTCCGGTTTTTCATATTGACTTTGCACTTTGCTCGATTGTATGTCAGACTGTTAAACCGTTGCCCTTGTAATAACTAATACTTTTGATGAGTCCTGCGGTGGTGCCGAAAAGGTATTGTACTTAACAAACTGATACCATCCAGCTCCAGTCCCTGATACCACCATTCTCTCAAGACCATGCTAGCCTCCTGTTATGACGGCAAAGTGCAAACAAAATGACAGAGTCTCATTCATTAGCCCCATCTTCTAATTTTGGTTGTGTTTTATACCATTGTCAATTTTATTTGTAATGTTTTAAGTTGATGAATATATTTTTTTATATCATAAATGTTTTTGAGTTATCAATATACAATATTTGATATCATTGCTGTTTTCTTTAAGAAATCTGGTGTGTGATAAAGACAATTTCTCGAAATTTTATATTGACAATGATTACCATACACTACCTTAATCCTGTTAATAATTCTGCCCTGATCCAAACACAAAATAAGGTGTCAAGGGACGGACCTAAGGTAGGAGGTGTAAAGGATGGTAGGGCCCATGCCATCCTTTGCTTTATATAAGATATCTTTCCTCATGAATCTCACCATGTACAGTTTTTTGCTTGGCCTAGACCCTAGATGCTTGTTTAGAGGATGAATTTGATTGGGATGGTATTTGTTACCTTGGGCTCTCCAAGCTTCAACGTTTAGCATTTGAAATTGGAAAAGTAAAGTGTTATATCGCTGTGCAAAATTGTTGTGGTTCTAAACACATAAACACCATTAGCCCTAGGTCTAGGTGCCATCATCGGCACCACGTACGAGGCAACTGAATGAAAATGCCCTCTTCTTTGGGGAAATACTATTTCAATATTTCGTCCAAGATATAATCTGATATAAAGGGTGGTAGAAACGCTTGTACTTGAATCTGCCCAATCAAACACTCCACATAGATCAATTAAGATAAAAAGGACTTTGTTGAGATAAAAGATGTAAGGCACCCTTAACCTAAAGGAGTACTTTAATCTTTGTTGGGCCTCTCACAAAACAGCTCCCTCTTTAATTTGTGCTCTTAGCCTTGTCACTTTGGGTGATCGCACTATGGATGAATTAATTTACTTGCAAAAAGGTAGTTGGTGGGTTTTGGCTATTTATTTATTAATAAGAGCTAGAGGTTTAGAGTCGCAGGACTTGTTTATGCATAGAGCATTGTTCACTGTGTGTCTCATGCAAAGAAACAGAAACAGAACCAACCATGGGATGGGTCCTTGTATGACAAATTGACCAAAACTATGCATTATCAGAGTTTCTATCTCTGATTTCTTACCATTCCATCCTCTTTTCTTTTTGAGAATTTTAGTTTTTTATTCTACTTTATGGCATGAAAAGATATGCTTTAAATTTCTAAACTATAATGTTTAAATTTTATTTTTCCCCCTGAAATAGTCATGGAATGCCTACATAGGCGATTAAAAGAAGTTATGTGACTAATCGGCCTTCTATGGTTTTTATGACCTTTCTTCTTCAATGTATATTATTTTGACAATCAGGGGTGGAAACAAATCAAGATTTTTACGAGCTATTTGAGAAAATTTTAATTCAATTGGGTTTAACCTGAACTTCGAGCTGAATTCGAACTCAATTTAGAGTCATGTTTACTCAACAATTTGAACTCGAACCTAATGAAACTTGACTCATGCCTGGTTGAGTTTATACATACATACATATTAATAAATAATTTTTATTATATGTATAATAATATTTTATTTTTTATATATGATAATAAATACTTTTTATAATTCTTAAATATTTGTGTGTAAAATAAAAAATATTTTTTTTATATATAACAGGAAGCTTGGCTCGCATTTGAGTTTGAATATATGAAATTTTGAGTCGAGCCGAATTCGAATTCAAGTCTCTAATAAAATCGAGATGGAACTCAAGCCTCATTGATTTTTTGGCGAATTGAGCTCAAAAACATGGATATTCAACTTGGCTCGGTTCCCACCCCTAAAATAATAAGTACCAACACTCTCTAACTCCATAACCTTAAAGCAGGTGAACCAGCTTTTAACTCAACCTTCAGCTCAACCCTCCCAATGGCCCGAATTTCCGAATTAGCTCTCATGTCACTTTTTCTCTGATTCTACAAACCAAGGTTTTTATCCATAAATTATTATATCATTACTGCCTGAAGCAATAGTCAACTGAGAGATCAAATCAACCCCCCACAACGTCCCACAACCCATCCCCGTCGTGTACTTGTAGGGGCAATCTTGTGAGGGCTTAATTGAACTCGTCAATTGAAATGGAGGGTTTCTTTACTGCCCAAATCACCGTAAGAAAGAAGACGAACCGTACTTTCTTTGCTGAACTTGACGCCGGAACCTTGGGTAACGTTGGAGTTTTTCTCTCGTGTTCGTTCCGTTTCTGTTGTTTGCTCTCTCCGGTGTTTGGAATTGGCGTCGGTCGACGGTCGGTAGGTAGAAGTGTGTTATTCGGTTAAAATCGAAAAATTGAGTTGAAAATTTCGATTGTGGTTTTTTCGGTTTTTGCTTCTTTCAATTTTGTAAAATTTCAGTTTCAATTTCATTTTCACATTTAGAAATTCAATTAGTTGAAAAAATTAAATTAATTAAACTTTATTATCTATAATATATATAATATGTATAAAACATATTATATTGTATTATATTATATATTAAAATATATATAATTTTGAAATTCAGTTTTAATCGAAATAACCGAATATTTTGATTTAGGTTCGATTTTTTATTTAAATTTTCGATTTATTCGATTCGATTTTTAATCGAACAAACCGTTTACTCACCCCCTATCGGCATCGGCAAGAGCCATGGGGCTATGGCTTGACTAGTAGATGGATTTTATATTACACGTGTATGCTTGACACACGAGTTAGAAAGAAAACCAGGTTTGAAATAGGAAACAAAATCTTCTCTCTCTCCACTCTCCAGCACCCACCCCAAAAACGATCTTTCTGTCAGAGATTCAGAATTCAGAACACGGCAGCATCCTTTCACTGGAAAGTGCAAACCCACCTCCGAACCATGTCAATATCCAAAACCCTATTTGGGTTTTGCCTGATGACATTATTCTCTGTGATTTATGCGGCAGAAACCCACCACCCAAATAAAAAATCAAGCGAGGTGACAGTGAAACCAACGGCCTACGAAATGCTTGAGAAGTTCAATTTTCCAAAGGGGATTCTCCCAGAAGGTGTGAAGGGATACGTGCTTCATGATGATAACAGATTTGAGGTGTTCCTTGATGGGGACTGTGAGTTTGAGGTTGAAGGATACAGTCTGTATTACAAGAGTAAGATTACAGGAACAGTTGGATTTGGTTCTCTGAAGGATTTGGACGGTGTGACTGTGAAGGTTTTGTTTATGTGGCTTGGCATCACTGAGGTGAATAGAGGAAATGGGAATATAGATTTCTATGTTGGACCTCTGTCTGCATCTTTCCCACTCTACAATTTCGATGTGAGCCCCCGATGCGGTTGTGGATTTAATTGCCTTACCACGGTATCAATTTCCTGAAGACAGGACATGCTTTTTCTCTTTCATTTGTTCATGGATGAATGTGTTGTCTTGTATAAACTGAATTTGGTTTGCTTGAAGAATTAGTATATAATTGGTGCTAGTGGTGAGAAACTGAGAATTAGCCATATCTAGGTTCTCTTTCATCAGAAGCTTGTTGGGCATCTTCTTTCCCCTTTGAAGAAATGGTGATCTAAGGAGTACAAGATACCACTTTCTTCTATGCCTTATTTATCTCTCTGTTCACATTTTCCCTGCTTTTTTCTTTTCTTATTTAGGAATATCAACCGGCCCCTAATTCAATTTTGATATATGAGATCGAGTTGGCCTATTGATCCATAGATCTTTGTTTTTTTTTTCTTTTTGATAAATTTCCATACATCTTTATTCTACTGTGAAAGAAAAGAACTCGCTTTATGTTCAGATTATTGGGGATAATTTTGAGGAGTTAAGACACTATGGAGATCAGTTCTTAAATGCTTATTTTATTTGCTTTTACTTCCCTCAGGGAGTTTCAGGTTTAGTTGATCTTGGGATTATTAACCAGAAGTTTATTTTGTTATTTTAGTTCTTACATAGATTAATGAATAATATTCTGAATTCCAATTGAATTGGCCATATTTCGTAGGAACCTCCATTACTTGAAATGGCTGGAAAGTGGAAACCCTTCTTATTTTAGCATTGATTACATGCTAATACCTCTGCTCAGAAAATGTACAGAGATTTCCTGTTTTCAGCTACTAGTTATCATTTGTGTATCCTTTTTTGTGAATTGGCTTAACCTAAGTATATGCATATTCAAGGAACTATATTGATCATCATTTTTTTATTTAGTTGGGTAATTAAATTCATTTCTCAAGAAACATATAGAAGTCAAGCATAATTTTGATTCCACCCTAGGTTTTCAAATTAACAGCCTACTTCCTAAGGGGAAGAAAGACATTTATCAGAAACATAAATACATTGAGAGGAACTATTTAGTTCTAGAAATTAAATTTTGTTAGATTTTAGATGGAGTATATTCAAGAGTTTAGAGTGCATTGTTGCACTGAAATGGATTATACACTACATCAGGATTGTATTTGAAGGGGCACTTAAGCTTCCTAGACACCTAGTAAGCATGTCAAGTAGAAACATAGAAGCTTGTGCATGCTCTTGTAACATACATTCTGCAAATCTTCTTCCTTGTCAAGTTCCAACTTATTAAGAGCTAATACTAAGACAAATCTGGTAAGGTGCAGAGAAAACATCATGATTTTTTATTTTTTTGTAAATAGAGAAAACATTATGAATGAAAGAAATCATTCTGGAATCTGGATAAACAACCTTGTGACTCTGTACCTTTTGAATCGCCCTTTACATCCCTCCACCCCAGTAATCATTAACAAAATAAAATTCATTTATTATAATAATCCCATACAGTTTTCAAGTAATCTAAATCACCTGAGACTTGAATCAGTTGAAGACTTAAAGATGACTTCGACAACAATGTGATAGTGTTCAAGATCTTAAGTCTTGCTCCTCATCTATACTTGAACAAATGTTAGAAATTTTTCAACTGAATTCAGCCCCAATTGTCTCTTGGCTTCCCAATATAAGAACATATTGTTGCATATTGCTCTGTCATCACTCATCACCATTTGTATAATGTGGAGTGGTGTTTGGAAACCACAAGGAAAAACTCTAGTTCATAAGATTCTTAGGTGGCTGGCAATGGCTACTTATTATATATATATATGGTATGTAAGGAAAAAAAAAAAAACTGTTTCAGCAAAATACCATTCATGTTCAATGGATATATACTTTGCCGTGTCAACACAGCCATTACTACCCCTGGTTATATTACAAAGATTTCAAATCTAAAAACAAATTGCGTCAGGAAAACTTCAGCCAATGAGATATTCAATAAAAGTAATAGATTTTTGAAAGGTAAAAGATATAATTGTATTGATAATGGGAGAAGCTCATGCTAGATACAAAAAACCCCTCAAGAGAGAAGGGGACAAGCAATATATGCTATACGGTAAAAAGATGATCAATATGAGCAATATAGATCATATACAAGTTCTCAAAACAGAGGGAGCCCAACTATTTGTCTCCAATGATCACAAACAAGAGAATACGAGAGGCCCTGGAACTATTTGATGGACATCAGTCCTTCCACTCTACCAATCACTGCCATATTATTCCACTCTACCAAAGGCAGAAATGATTGACCAAGGGAAGTCCTCTGGCCATCAGATAATCAATAGTTTGACAGTGCTGCCAAAAGTTAATGAACTTGAAACACTGGAAATCCAAGACTTGTTGGAGGCTGTAACACATCCATCAGTGGAGGAATTAGGGGTTCAGAGAATGAGTTGTAACACATCTTTTGTACTCTTTTCTTCGGCCTATTGTCAAACACATTTAGGGCAGAAGATACCCTATGCAGCTTCAGAGGATGAGCGGTGCTACCACCTTGGCCTCACAAATGTCACCACGGGCAAGGGTTATCAAAGGTCTCTAGAGGAACACAGAACATAAACCATACGACTCCCCCCACACTCAAATCCAAGACTTGGGATCGTTCATTTGTCCACTTCATATGTAGAAGAGGAAAAAACACCAAAGCAAAGAGGAAAAAAAAACCCTTAATAATCCTTTGTTCAACAAATCAATCTTCCGAAAACCACTAAAGCATAAATATTTAAACACATAAACAACAAAAACATAATAAATCAAACAAATCAGATTATTATCACCAAAGCAAAAATATTTAAACACATAAACAACAAAATAAAGAAGAAGACACCTTCGTTTGAAGAAGAAGAAAAAGAAGAAGAATGACTATCTGGAGCTTGGATTCACCAGTGGCACTTCCTCCTTGAGAAAACACGAAAATTACTATGTTTTCTGGGTTTGGGGTTATCAGGGGTAGTATGCATCATTTCCAAAATATTGTAAGGGCAGTTTCAATTATGCACCGGATCTGAAACATGTCTGATTGCGTTAAGAGCCAACCCAAGCGTTACAGTTTTCAGATTTGAAAATAATATTCAAATCAAGTTTAAGAGGAGAAACCAAGTGTGAGGATCTGAAAAGCAATATTTTAAAATTCAAATATCTGAAAAGTGCAATCAAACGCCTCCTTAATAGGTAGCAACCATTGAAAATTTATGCCAATACATCTTGTTTCCTATTGTACTATCATATTATAAATCCTATGGTTCTCTCTTGCTTCAACAATCGTTGTTTGGCTATAAGCTTTCAACTAATCATGCTTTTTTACAGGGATTATTTCTTTTATGCATCTCAAGGACCTTCTACAATCCCACAATTCATGTGATTTCAATCAAGGAGGTCCCACTTTAGGGTATATAGACTGTCATATTAGAATCTCTATTCACAAGTTCTTGGCCACATGGCAAATGAATCAGGTATTCATGACTTTGGCATCTCAAACGTAGAGATCACTAGACAGATGAGATGCCTAATAGATAAACAACTTAAAACTAGACATGTTGTTAATGTTGAATGTAAAACCATAAAAAAGAATAGGGTAAATTACAATAACCCACATTTGCTATGACAATGTCGTAGCCCTGCATTGAAACAATTGAATCAAAGCCTTTGATTTGTTACCATGGCCCCACCTTGAATCTGATTAAGTGGTTTCGTGGTGAGGCTACTACAATACATCTAAGGACACGATTTTCTATTTTAACCCTGAGCTGCAAGAGTGTCATAGCACAAATGAATTCAAATTAATGCTACATATAACACTTAGGGGATCATGACACCCTTGAACTTTATTTTGTGATAAAGACACCTTGTACTTCTAGATTTCATCATTTTATCCCTTGTCACTTGATTGTACGCTTATATGTTTTTAAAACCCTAAATTACCTTAGATTATTTTTAAGACCATGTCCTTTTAACCCTTTTTTTACCTCATACATATTTCTCTCGATAACGATGGGTATCAACTCGTGCTCTTTATGGAAATGCTATTGAATAAGTAATTCATCTTCAATGCTAACAAGCTGTTAATCTTCAAATACTATTCTATGATTAGAGGGTGATCATGGTTCAAATTATTGATACTTTCAATATGTAAATTTTGCATATTAAATTGGCTAATCAAAACTATAATTTTTTAACTTTTGGTTTGTCTTGACAAGGTCTTGACACATCATTTAACATTTTAAAACATTCAAATTACCTATTTCTCATTAAAACCATATTGGTGATATATAGTTAACAATAGGATACACGCAATATAGAGCATATCGTATCAATACTTTGAACCTTGGGTGTAAACATGAAAGTTTAGCACCTATAGTAAAAAAATGAGAGATAATTCAAGCCTACATTGAGCATTGGACCTCATACCTTTAAGTATACTATATTTAATATGTATAATATTTTATATTTTAATAAATATAATATATGTATAAAATATAGGGTCATTTACTAAGACACCCCCTTTAGTTTATCATATTAATTAAAACACTCCTGTAATGTGCACGGTTTTTCTTATGATATGTCCATAAGGAACCGTGTGCAATTTCATCAACAGATGATGATGTGACTCATAAAATTGAAAAGGGAATGGCCTTATGGAACCTTTGTCACTAGGTGGTAATGGATCGAGCTCAACCAATCATCTAACTATTGGAGTGGTTGGTTAATAGTTTCATTTAAAGTTTGTTTGTCCCGTTGCAGTTGAACTTTTAAAGCCAATTAACCTTTATACGTTCTCATCTAGTTGGACACATTAGACCTCGAGCACCAAATAGGATTAGATCCCAAGCATGCTTCATTACAATGATCATATGATGATATTTGGCTCATAAAATCAACACAACTCCTAATATAGCAACTATTTATGCAACTAGTCCCACCACACCACCATTAATGATTGTAGTGCCAATAGACCTGGCAATTGGATTGGGTGGGTTGAATTTGAGTTGGGTTGAGGCATTCTTAGGTTAAATCTAGATTGAGTCAATGAAGGTTAGACCTTTGTAAGCACCCAATTTTTTCTTGGTCTCCTTTTTAATCCATCTCTCATATTCCAAATGTCCGATCAGACTTTGCCAACTTTTTTAGAATATGCCAATACCCTCAAATTCACTATTAAATCTATAAGATTCCCTTTCGATAGTTCCGATTATGCTACATCACCATACCTGTTACCCAATTAGACCCCATCACATGAAACCAAACCTTCAAACAACCAATCACACCAAATTTTAGCCATAAATTCTGTGATATCACCGTTCATCCATCAGAGATTCTATTATGATACATCTCACATTACGATACTTCTTGAACAAAAAACCTATGATCCACACATCTTTGACATGACCAAGCCCTTTTCACAACCCTGTAATTCAAATCCATGCTACTCTGCCAAGCTTAAACCTAAAATTTTCTTATTTACCCATCCATCAAACCAAGATTCCATTTTGAGACTCCAAATATCCCAAGATATCCGCCGCTTAAATTTCCGATCAAAAAATCCCCATTTTTCCCTTCATACACAAATATTCTAAATCAACCACTCTCGTTGTTCGCTATTCTCAAAATTTTAGATCTCGATCACGACATCCCTTCCAAGACAAAAAAATCTCACCAAAACCTTCATCGACCATTTGACTGACCATCTGACAAATTTCAAACCCAAAAGTAGCCATTTTACCTTCATCTAACAAGATTTCAAATAGACGGTCCTCATTGACCACCACTATCCAAATCCAAGATCTTCATCAAGGCACATCATCCAAGACCCCCAAAACATACTAAAACCTATCAACTTCCCAATGAACCAAATGTTCAACATCAGACCTCAAAATGTCCATTTTGCCCTTCATCCAAAACGATTATAAACCAACGATCCTCATTGACCGCCACTCTCCAAATCAAAGATATCCATCATTACACATCATCCAACATCTCCAAATCCCATAAAAACCTCCCAATCGAAGATCTATCACGTTTCATACCCTAAAATGACCATCTTACCCTTCACTTAAAAAGATTCCAAATGAGTTATCCTCGTTGTTTGATACTCTCTAAGTTCAAGATATCAATCGTTACACATCATCTGACACCTTTAAACCCCATCATAACCTCCTAATCGATGATCCATCACATTTCATACCCTAAAATGACCATTTTACCCTCCACTTAAAAAGAATCCAAATGAGCCACCCTTATCGTCTAATACTCTCCAAATTCAAGATATCCATCGTTACACATCATCTGACATCCTCAAACCCCGTTAAAACCTCCCAATCGTCGACCCGTCAAACTGAAGACCTTAAAATGACCATTTTACCCTCATCTATAAAGATTTTATATTGAGGGCTCTCATTAGTCGTTACTCTCCTATTTCAAGATCTGCATTACGGTACACCCTCTGATACACCTAGACTATGCCATCACCTTCTTAAGCACTTGGATAAACCCTCCTCCATTTTTTTTAAACCCAAAATGACCATTTTACCCTTGGCCCTCATTGCTTGACACACTCCAAATCATAATTTTTCACTATGGCACACCTTTCGAGGTCATCAAACCCCATCGTTACCCTTTTAGGACACCTTGAAACCCCATTGGATAATCTTGTTACAAAATTTCCCATTTTACCCATTCATTTATGAAGATTCTAATTCGTGCGATCTGGTTATTCAAGATAAACCCTAATATCTTCGATTTTAATCTCAACCCTCAAATCCTGCACACCATACCCGTTAGATTTGCCCTTTCATTACAAAAAAAACCCTGCATATTTTCAATCAAGACCCTACACATTTTCGAAAATCACCCAAAGCCCGACTAAAAAACCCTTCCCACTCTCTCAATCTCTCACCGAATCTCTCCCTCCTCCATGAAACCCTTACCACCGAGTCTCACCTTCATGGTCTTCTTCCTCTCCCTTATACAATAAACCCCAAAACTGTATCTCTTCTCCCACACCAGGACCACTGAACTCTCAATCCCCTATCTTCTTCTTCCTACTCTCATTTCATGGAACAGAACCTAACCGAACCCTAGCTCCATCTCTTTCCTCCTCCCCTTTCCACCTCCCTCCTCCATTAACGAACCAGCAACCCTCTCTTCCTTTCTCTCAACCTCCTTCCTCCACCATCGGATACTCTCTCTTCGAATAGAACCCCATCCTCACAATTCTCTTCTCCCCCTCTCACTCATCGTCGCTATCCTCTCTCGCTCCCTCATTCTGTCATCTTCTCTCAACCAAAAAAGAAAGAAAAATAACAAAGAACTTCCATTCGGCAAGAAAAGAAGAACAAAGAAGAAGAAGAGGAGAAGAAGAAAGAAGTTAAGAAGGAAAAGGTCTGCTCGCCCCAAGGATAAAGAAGAAAAGCTCTCCCATTTGTTCCAAGAAAGAAGGTGAAGGAAAGCCCTTCCTACCCCATTCGGTCAGGTAAAGAAACCCCAACCCCTCCAACCCTCTCTCTCTCTCTTTCATCGTAATCACTCTCTTTCTTTCTCTCCAAAATCTCTCTCTAGCTCTCTCACCCCTACACCTAAACCGAAAATCACATACTCTTTCACCCTTCATCACCTTCTACTTCGCCAACCGAAATCCACTCATTCACCCATCACCCTCATCTTCGTATTTCTCAACCCCAAACCAAAATGTAACTCCATCAAAACCCTAGTTCTGTTAACCCCAAAACTGAATCATTTTTCTTCCTTTCCACTATCTTCCCTTCTCATAGCCTAAAAACTCCCAATTTGGTCATGTGGAAAAGGCAAGGAGGATAAAAGAACAACAAGAAAGACATTCAGCCCAAAAGTCTTAGGGTCGAGTTAATCCCAAGAACAAAGCAAGGAAGGAAATTCAACCATTGCATTTGTGCAAACCCGAAGTCAATATTTCAGCATCATCCACTCTACAAAGTGCTTGATCAAAGGCCACAAAGAGGTGAGTTATTCGCCTTACCCCTTTTCTATTTTAATTTCTTTTTATATTTTCTTCAATTTTACTAATGTTCTAGGAAATATTTTTTTCAGCATTATGTATCTTGTTGGTTAAAGGTTGGTGGTTTTTTTTTTTTTTTTTTTAAAAGTTGATGTCATAATGTTTAGGTGTAGGGAGCATTAGAGTTATTTTCTTTATGTATTGGAATAAATATTCATCATCTTGTCTGGAGTTATTTAATTTAACTTGAACCACTATTACTACTTAAATCCTTCCCTTTTTTATAGTGTTTCAATTCAGATTTGGCAAATTAAGTGAATATGCATGCTAGTTTTTTTTTTTTTTGAATGTTAGAATACATGTGTAATGGAGATATAGCTTATGTTAAACTTTATTTCAAGCTAGTTTTCTATCTTGTTTATTGGATATTTTTTGTTTCCTTGTTTTTTTTTTATTGTTTTAAATCCTAAATGTAAATTGTGTTTAGTGAGCCCTAAGTGAGGTGGCTCATAGGGGATTAATTCCCTTATGTTTTGATCTCATTAGCTTAAGGGTTAAATCACTTGGGAAACAAGCCACCATGACTATCCTCTTTGATGGGTAAGGTTGCTAGAAATCTAGTAGGTTTTGTTTCCTTTAGTTCTTATTCTTTCTTTACTAAATTAGGGGAAATGTACTACACATTGAGTATATGAGAGGGGTGCTTAATACCTTCCCTCTCTCCCCTAAAAAGTACCAAGATTAACTTTGTTTTGGGTGTGAATCATGTCTTGTTTTTTTGAACATGGGAGGCCCATCACTTCTATGTTCTTTCCTTTGATGGGTGGCGACTCCATACCATTTCAGCCATGGAGTGAACCCCAAACTCAATATGGATGTTCACAACCTTGACATTAAGCATTTGGGTTAAGGTTGACCCATAGGTCAACTTGATTCAACCCTATCATTATTGAAAAATTAAAAATTGAAACATGAAAAATGTTAACTAAACTATTAAATGAATTAACCTAAAATTCAAATTTTGAAAAGAAAGTTTGCATTCAGTTGATCTTTAAGAAAGGAAAGATTGACTCTTCCTCCAACGAATTTACCAACAACTATAAAAAACTTGAAAATTCAAAATTTCAAAAAGTGAACAATAGAAGTAAAGTTTAAAGACAAACAGAAAAATAACATAAGTAGATGATTAGATGTCCAAAAGACACGCAAATGTTCTAAACTTCCAATATGAATTTAAAAAAAATAAAAAAACTTTAAACACATTCCATCATTTTTAAATTTATCCATCCACTACTGGAAAATTCATCTATAGAGGCGGCCATAACTACCACTAAAAGCTGAAAAAAATGCCTCTAAAGGAAATAGTAGATGGTCAGGTGAGTGCCTCTAAATGCCTAGTCGCTAAATGTTTTAGAGGCGCTTGGTTGAGCATTAGAGGTGTATTCGCCTCTAAATTGGACTTTTAGAGGCACATACGGCTGCCACTATTTCACTAACGCTAAAAGTCCTGTATAGAGGCACTTACAAGTGCCTCTGAAAGTTCAATTTAGAGGTGCATTTGAACGCCTCTAGATGATTTTGCGGCAATTTATGTGCCTCTAAAAGAAATCTAAGAAAAAAAATCTCAATTAGAGGTACTTTTGGCTGTCTCTAAAGATATATGCTTTAATATTTAGAGGCACTTTTGGCTGCCTCTAAAAAGGTTCCAATTTTTTTTAAAAAGTGCAATATACTGTGAATATTGTTACATAAAAATTCTAATCGATACACCTTACGAAAATATATTCAATCAAAATATAAAACCTGTATGAAAATATATATGAAATTATACCAATTGGTACACCTATTTGAAGAATTGAATTGAACAAATTATACTAATAATTCTTGAAAACAGGTTTTGGAATTAGCTGGAAACGCAACAAGGGATAAGAAGACAAGGATAGTGCCTTAAACATTTGGGTTAAGGTTGACCCATAGGTCAACTTGATTCAACCCTATCATTATTGAAAAATTAAAAATTGAAACATGAAAAATGTTAACTAAACTATTAAATGAATTAACCTAAAATTCAAATTTTGAAAAGAAAGTTTGCATTCAATTGATCTTCAAGAAAGGAAAGATTGACTATTCCCCCAACAAATTTACCAACAACTATAAAAAACTTGAAAATTCAAAATTTCAAAAAGTGAACAATAAAAGTAAAGATTAAAGACCACACAGAAAAGTAACATAAATAGATGATGAGATGTCCAAAAGACATGCAAATGTTCTAAACTTCCAATATGAATTAAAAAAAAATCAAAATGACTTTAACTTTAAACACATTCCATCATTTTTAAATTTATCCATCCACTACTGGAAAATTCATCTATAGAGGCGGCCATAACTACCTCTAAAAGCTGAAAAAAATGCCTCTAAAGGAAATAGGAGGTGGTCAGGTGAATGCCTCTAAATGCCCAATCGCTAAATGTTTGAGGCTCTTGGTTGAGCATTAGAGGTGGATTCACCTCTAAATTGGACTTTTAGAGGCACATACGACTGCCTCTATTTCACTAACGCTAAAAGTTCTGTACAGAGGCACTTACAAGTGCCTCTGAAAGTTCAATTTAGAGGCACTTACAAGTCGCTAAATGTTTTAGAGGCTTTTGGTTGAGCATTAGAGGTGGATTCACCTCTAAATTGGACTTTTAGAGGCACATACGACTGCCTCTATTTCACCAACGCTAAAAGTCTTGTATAGAGGCACTTACAAGTGCCTCTGAAAGTTCAATTTAGAGGTGCATTTGAACGCCTCTAAATGATTTTGCGGCAATTTTATGTGCCTCTAAAAGAAATCTAAGAAAAATAAATCTCAATTAGAGGCACATTTGGCTGCATCTAAAGATATATGCTTTAATATTTAGAGGCACTTTTGGCCGCCTCTAAAAAGGTTCGAATTTTTTTTTTTTAAAGTGCAATATACTGTGAATATTGTTACATAAAAGTTCCAATCGATATACCTGTATGAAAATATATTCAATCAAAACATAAAACCTGTATGAAAATATATATGAAATTATACCAATTGGTACACCTGTTTGAAGAATTGAATTGAATAAATTATACTAATATTTCTTGAAAACAAGTTTTGGAATTAGCTGGAAACGCAACAAGGGATATTAAGAAGACAAGGATAGTGCCAAGGCATATTCAGTTGGCGATGAGAAACAATGAAGAACTAAGCAAGTTGTTGGGTGCCATTACGATCGCAAATAGTGGTGTGATGCCCAACGTTCATAACCTCTTGCTGCCGAAGAAGACTGGAACCGGTTCTTTGAAGGGTGTTGCTTCTGATTGGATGTGTGTATAACACACTCCAATTAATTGGGACCTTTTCTTAAATGCAGAGAGTGCTTTTTTATCCAAGGAGGTGTGTATAACACACTCTAACCACAAGTTGTCAAAAAGCCAAATATTACCACCATGACACACGAAAACTGTTGGTCCCATCTGAGTAGGAAGACAAACTTGATAAATAGAAAATTTAGGAAAATGGGGTTATTGTAACTTTGGAGGAGAAGCTCTGAGGCGTGTCTGAAGACACTGTCTTTAGAACGTTATTTGCCCCCACTCAATTTCATTGAGTTTGCTGTTGGTTGCAGGCAAATCCGTTCCCAGGATACAACAGAGCCTTGGGCGAGAATCTGCAACCAGCAAAGTTGAAAAATCTTCAGAGAAACCTTCTGTGAGACTGTAGCAGACCGGACTGAGAGAGAGAGAAAGTGGTTTCGAAAATGTGTTTTTGAAGTCTAATTCATGCTCCTTAAATAGTTTATGAAGAGGTAAGAAGAAAAGGTAGGTGCTGGTTTAGAGAAGGCACCCTTAACTGTCACAATTTTAAACATTGTGACTGTTTAAAAAGTAGTTTACAGTTAATGACTGTTAACTTTGAATTGTGCATTTTGATCACACCCGATCGAATCGTGACCATTGATCTCATCAACGGTGATCAACGGTCAGCATTGCACCAAAACCAAAGTCGCCCTTTGCGAGCCACGCGGGTGTGAGCAAAGTGCGCCTCATTGCGCCACACAGACACGCGCGCACACACGTGCGAACGCAATGCACGGTATCAAACCCCTATACTCTCCTCTACTATTTCTAAGGAGTGTAAATCAGCTCCTATTAAAATACTGAAAACAAAGCTTATAATTTTCCAATGTGGGACAAGTTCAAAACTGGGTTTTATAAGAGAAAAGCTAATTTTTCAATCAAGTGTGTAGGTGTAATTTCTCATGTAATTGATCAATCAAACCCATTGGATTTAATCTCTTATGAGATTAAAATCCAACAGAAAATAACCAATGTCATTTGATGTTGCAAATCTTATAGCAATTTGAAGGTTCAAGCATAAGACTGAGGAAGACACCAAGTAATGCAAACTCCAAGACACCAAATTTGCTCACCTCTTAATCGAGAAGCAACACTTCCATTTGGCATATAAGGATAGACGAGAAGCCTTTCATTCTGTGTCATACAGAATCCACAAAGTCGAAGGAGATTCCGATGGACAACCAGGCTTATCATCTCAATTCCGATGGACAGCCAGGCTTATCAGCAAGTCAACAAAAGTAAATTCCACAAAATCAAATTCAAATGAATGTTGTTGTAAGCTAATTTTAGATCCACTGATCCAAAGATAGAGTACACAAATTTGCCATCACATATCCTAAAAGTAGGAATTCCATGCCCATGGACAACCAAAGGTGATTGGAGTTTTCAAGTTAATATCTGGTAAACCCAACGTCCCGTGAGAACATAATCTACAAAAAAAAAGAGGGTTTATAACCATGTCACATCTGCCTCCATTGCAGAAAACAAAGTCGGCTTCAGGCCACTCATCCAACATCTATGTTGGACACACAGCCTGATTTAAAACCTCTACCATTAAATAGAAACTGATATTCTCTAGGCAATTTAAAATGGCCTAATTTAACAAATAAACTGTGTCCAAAGAGTGCAGA